GGAACTGCTGCTTTTTCTTTCCTAATCCTCACTATTGTCATTTTTCCTCTACTTCTTTTGTATGTTTGTCACACTCAGGTGACCCACTATTTCTGGGGGGTGCCTTGACAGTCGAAGCAGACTTTGTGCTGTTGAAGCTAGAGAGGTGAGCAGAGTAAATTTTTGTCATCATCCATTCAAGTCCTACCATCTTATTAATCCTCTTGTAAAATAAGTAGGCCTATTTCTTTTTGCCTCAATCTAAAGCCCATGCTTCAGTATCAGAATAACTGTTGTTGTGGGTGGTTGGTGGGGGCTTTGGTGCTGGTTTGTTTTTTCATCTTTTTTCCTATCAATCATCTGTTGTCAATAGCTCTCCTCCTTTTCTTTGTATTGTATGTTGCTGTTTATCAACACCTCTAATCTTTAGCACTTATGTGACCTAATTGTGTTGAAAGTGCCATGATACTCTTTCTAAAACTAAACCAAAACAATATTATTGTTAACAATTGTACATAAATTTATGTCATATGTTTGATTGTGGCTCTGTTTCTGTGTGTAAGCTTAGATATATAATTGTAATATATTAGATGTGTTATTGTGTGTATACATGTGGAAAAGAGGGTATGTGAGAGAGTATGTGTGTTTGCATGTTGGAGTGTGTGTTTATGCATGTGTGTGAGTGTGTGTGTGTGTGTGTGTGTGTGTGTGTGCGCGCGCACGCCACTGTTTGGACAATAAAGATTTGTCATATCTTATCATACAGGCTTGTTTTCTCTTTTTAGCCTAGAGTTTGAAAGTTTTTGCTCTCCTCAATAGACTCTATTGTGTATGCCAACCCAAGTACAGAACCAACCTCATTTCCACTGTTCATCCCCCCCCCCCCACACACACACACCTGAGGACCAGAAAACACATAATAATAGTGTTCCTTAAGCAAACAAATTCATGGGGAAAATCCTGAGAATTCCAGACGTCAAAACTAGTATGGTTAAAATTCAACATTGCTTACAATACATGAATAATTAGTTACATTTTATATATACATATATATGAGAAATTGGAAGACTTTTTGTTGAAACTTGGAGTATCCCCCTGCAGAAACCTTGAGTGGACTCTTGTGGCCTAGAGGTTAAGGTGTTGGCCTCTCATTCAAAGGTCCTGGGTTCGATTCTGGGTAGCGACCGAAAATTTTTCTTCTCTAAATTTGTCTCCTTTCACCTCATTTCCTGCTCTCTAGCAATGCTCTGTCGTCTGCTTTCATCTCCTGTTTCTGCCCCCATCCCCTCACCTCCTTTGCCCCTTCCTCTGGGCTTGTGATTCTTTTTGCTGCCTTTCTACTGCTACTCCTTCGCTTCTTCTTACTGCTGTCTTTCAGCCACACCCCTGATCTTCTGGTAGGAAAGATCTACACCTAGCCTTCTCGGACAAGGGCGAAAAATCTCGGAGGGCCCGTGTGCAATTTGCACACATTAAAGATCCCTTGGTGGTCTAAAATCGATAAGAATAGGCTTCGGCCGCCACCCGAGCAAAATTCAAAATTTCCTACCAACTGAAAATATTAGGTGTGTCCCGCGCGCTCATATGACGTTATGCAGTTGCGAGCGCCGTAAAACACTTTACAAAAACAAGAAACCTTGTAATACTTTATGTTGTGTGTACTCTGACAGGCGTGGGTTAACTACATTATATAATTCATGTACCGTGTATAAAAATGTGAAGCGTGCTGACAAAATCAAAATGAGTTACTTCTCGGCTTCAACCCTGATGGAAATAGAGACATCACACACTTATTATAGGTGAAATTTTTACAATTTGTAAGAATGAAATAATAAAAGGAATAATATAGTTTAAGAACATGGTATCAATAGAAAATCTACAAATTTGACCCTAGTGTCGATTTTTGGCCTGTTTATCAATGTATGGATTGTGAGAAATAACTCATTTTGTCACCACGTCCCACAAATATATTAGAAAGATAAATCTAGAAGAACAGAAACAGACGAAAACAAGATTTGTATACGGTTGGACATCAGCTGATGACAGATTATTTTATTCGTTTATAGACATAGGGCACAAGAACAGGAACTGGTGTCAGGGTGTGATGGTCAGGGTTTTCACCTTTGCCCGCAAAAGATGTGAGTTCTATTCCCAAGTCAGGAAGTTATTTTATCATTTATCGACTTCTGATTTATCCTACTCAGCCTGTGTTTGGCCTTGACTCCCAGGGTCAAAGTCAAAGCAGTTTGTCTTCGCTGTGTTTCAAAATCATAATATGTCGATGTGGCTTAACGTGTTCCCATTCCAATCTCGGAAACAGGTAGTAAAGTACAGTCAACACTCTGTATAACTTAATAAACTAAACAAAGTACTTATAACACCAGCCCCGCTTACCACCAAGTTTCGATAAACACAGTATTAATTTAAATTTGCATCTTCACACCGCCATCCGCCAACTGTCTGTGTTGTATGATCCTTATTAAACAAATTATATTTGCCCCCCCCCCCCCCACC